CTATATTTTTACCCTGATGAGTTAAATAAATTTCTTCATAAGCCAACACATGCAATAAGCTAACATGAAATCCTCAGTTAAGAGTGTTTTTCCTATTTATTTTCCGAAATCTGAAGCATGCGTGTGTGGACTTGCAAAGACGACCGACCATATGACATATGTCACACATGCATGTGCATCAAAACGTGTAAGACTTCACTAAATTGGCAATGTCCATGTTCTTATTCAAGATTCAAATGAATATAGAGAAATACTCACATGTCCACGGTGGGTACATGTTAATATGTTCACCGCTGATGTGGCATGTACACATTGGTGATGTTAATATGTTAAAAAAATACATCACCAATGTGTGCATGCCATATCACTGGTGGGCATATTAAAATGTGCCCACTGTGGGCATGTGAGCATTTCTCAATGAATATATGGATCATTTTTCATTTTCACTTACGTTAATCTTAACGAAACTGGAGTTTGTTACAATTTTTTTTTTCTATTTTTTATTATTTCTGATATAGCTTTATTATCTTTGACACTGAAAGGAAAGTTTATGCTTGATCATAAGAAAATGGTAGATAGTGAAAGAAATTAGAATAGTTTTGGACCGTTGGATCCAACATATCAATAGTTATGATAAGTCAAATATTAAATATGGCAGTCAACATGCGGCGGCATTGTTATAAATAAGTACACATTTAATGGTCAAATCTACACATTTACAAATTAAATAAGGGCAAACTGGTAATTACCCAATCACACACATCACATGTGGGACCCACTACCACTATCAAACTTTAATTTCACTCTCACATACTCACACACACAAGTCAAGGATTTTCCACCGTCGACCACTCCATCTGCAGCGCACCCTCACTCGCCCGCTGCCACCTGGCGCCAAGTGCCACTGCTCTCTGCCGCCTGCCGTTGAGTGCCGCAGCCATCTCACCGCTCGCCATCGACCCACCGGACCACCCTACGCAGACACCTACCTCCGTCGGACTCTCGCCTGAAGTTGCAGACCGTCGCGGCCACCGCTCGTTGTGTCTTGTCGTCACAGTCAAGCCACCGCCGACGCCGTCCAGTCGATCGCTGCGACAAACTTCACGGCCACAGTCCACCGTCAATGTCGTCCTTTCCATAATCCAGACGACACCTCAGCTAAGACAACCACCAGCCAGTCGAGTGCGACGATGGCCTTCACGGTGAGAGCCACCAAGTCGTCGAGGCGCGTAGATAGGATTATTGACTGGGAATAAGTTGATTTGAGACAGCTCGAACTCGTCGCCGACATTGAGGAGAGTGATGAAATCGTCGTCGGCATGAGATGCAAGGACAACAGCGACGGACTGAAGAGATGGCCGGAAGTTGGGCCTGTGCCTAGAGACTTTTTAAGATTTTGTTGGCTCACTTTTGTACATTAATGACCAAGGACTTGAGTTTGTAAATTTGATAACATTTAGGGGCTTAATTACAATTTCAACAATTTTAATAAATTACGATTGAGTTCATGGGTGAATTGTAATTAATCAAACTATAAATTAATATTTTAACATTTCATGTCATATTTAATATTTTTGTAGTTTTTATTGAAACAAATATATATAAAAAATAAATAATAATAAAATGATAGTATTTTTTTTTATTTAGTTTAGCCGTTCGATTATTTCGATTATCTAAAGAAAAAAATATAAAAATTAATATTTTTAATATAGTTTGTTTTTGTTTCGGTTATTTGATTAAAAAATTGACACCATACCGAAACAATCNGGCATGTTCGGTTATTTTGTTTATTTAACAATAACTAAATTCAACATTAACCAATTAATATTATTCGATCAATCATTAGAATTACTGTAATTTTAGTATGTGGAACATGTTGTGTTATAAGGTGCAATGTATTGTTGTATAAAGTGCAATGCATTGATATATAAAGTGCAATACTGGAATTCTAGTATTTTAACAGGAATGCGTATTTTTTTTTCGTGGATATATAATGTGATGGATAGTAAAGTATTATGTCACTTTGTTTTACATATTTATATTGCGTAATATTTTGGTGGGAGCTGTTGACGTTAGTTGTGGAGTGTGGTAATAAAGTGCAACGTGTTGTTTTATAAGGAGAAACATGTGGTTTTCTAAAGTGCAACTACATTCCGCTATATAAAGTGTCTAATTTATACATTTCTAGATTAAATTATGTGTATTCGAAAACTAATTTTTAAAATATATAATTACACATCGAATTAAGCTAAATAATTGAATTATCTTTGTATTTATTATTTTATATCATATAATTTATTTATTATTATAAATTATTTTTACATGTTATATTATGTTTATTTAATATTTTATTTATCATTTAATATATGCTGAACAATATGCATAAGAAATAACTTTTATTAACTTTCAATAATTACAGATTTGACCCATGGGTTAAATTAAAATATAATTAAAATTATTAAAATTGCAAATAAATCCCTATACATAATCTAATTCTAAAAAATGAGGCTCAAATCTACTATCCATTTTCACTAATTTTTTTGGCATGTCGGGCTTCAACCAAGGACATGAGGGACCCTCCGACGATGCCGGTGTGGCCCCTGCCGGCCGACAGTCGCAGAGGCGATGTGCGGCAGCTCGCGATGGCTTCGCCGGGAGAGCTTTGACCTCCAGACGACCGAGAATCCGAACATGAGGAGCTGTTCGCCGACGCCGGGATTGATGACCTGTCCGTCGACGTCGGACTTGGTGAGCTCTCAGTCGACACCGGTGCAGCTCTACCGACCGCCAGGTGCAAGGGCGTGTGGTAGCTCGCATCGGGCTCGACGTGAGTTCTGACCTCTGGCGAAGTACGTCCTCCAAGAAGTTGAGGTGGCTGGTGGCTGGTTACGGTGACCGGCGGAGGGACGTCCACGGCAGTGGCTGGTGGCCGGCGACGAGGTTTGCGATGGTCGGAGTTTGTCTCAGCCGGCTGTGTGTGAGTTGTGTGTGTGTTGTGTGTGTGTGTGTTGTGTATGTGTGAGGTGTGTGTGTGTGTGTGAGGGATTATATGTGTGTGCGCGTGTGTGTTGTGTGTGTGTGTGTGGCGTGTGTATCCATGTGTTGGGTGTGTTGGGGTGATGATGTGGCATGGTGATGTGGGTGGTGAGTGTGCTCCCTTTTTCCTAGGTCCAATACGAGCTCTAATGTCCACATTATCCATAATAAATGTATAATTTTGGCTTTTTTTAGTCATTAGATCATCTGATTTGTTGGCTACGATTTATTCTTATTTCTTTCACTATGCATCATTCTCACTTGAACCCAACCATATATTAAAAAGACTCAATTGCTTTGATGTTTTCTCGATGTGGGAGTCTTTAGCTTTTTCTCTTTTTTCTATTATTCTTTTTTTCTCTTACTATTGAGCTTTTTACTTGGGCCTGAGCCAAAAGCCAAATTAAGTTAGTTAATGTTGTAGTAGTGACTAGTGAGGTTTGATTGATTCCTTTTTGTAAGTTTAAAACGAATTGGACAATTTTTGCTAAAAACTCTCAGTTTTGACGGGCGATTTTTTTTAATATATGTATATAACAAAGAGAAAATTATTCTCCTTACTAATGATTTGACAAAAAAATATTAAAAATACAAAATACTAAACTTTTCATCACAAATACGATGCGAGAGATTTAATATCCCATCGCAACCCCACTCTCTCTCTCTCTCTCTCTCTCTCTCTCTCTCTCCTTCGAACTTTCTCGCAACCACAAGATGAGAAATTTTGGATGATTGTGTGCCCTAATTTCATTCTTTCAGTTCTCATATTTCAATAAAAAATTTGCCCCAGAGACATCTCCTCATCTCTCAATCAAAAGTTCACCGCGATTGATGCGTGGCTTGCCGACGTGGCCCCGATAGCGCTCCACTACAACCTGTAGCTCCCCACCTGGTGGCCCGCTACCGCCGGCGACAGCTGAGAGATTAGGAGACGTCGTTGTTTTTCCTCCTCCGTCCAATTCGTCAAGTATCAATCAATTTCCTCCACTTTCTTTTTCGATTTTTTTCTTAATCCGTCGATCCGCTTTCGAGCAATGCTATGATTCACCCGTGCAACGTCTAAGATGCACTAGGGCTCCTTGAGGAGATGAAGGGGTGACGCTGGGAGTGGTGAGGTCAATCAATCCCATTTCATAATTGTTTATACATTGTTTATCTTATGTATAACTACATTCGATTTGAATTTCTACGGTCTTTCAGAATTGTTTATTATGTTTAATCCTATTTCAGAATTGTTTATATGTTGTTTAGCTTATGTATAACTACACTATTAATAATAGAGAAGTGTCAGATCATGTTTATCTGAATATATATCCAATATATCTGAACATATATTTGGTGGTTGGACGACTTTTTTTTTCGAATTCAAGATGTTGATTAACTTCTATTCCCAATCCCATATCGTGATTTTTTTATTTTTATTTTTTAAATAAAAGGAAGGAAGGGAAGATCTCAACTGGATCGGGATCTGTAAATCGATCGCCAGAAATATGGAATTATGTCTCATAATTTTGAAATGATTTTTTGTATATATGAGGTTAATTGTGTATGTTACGGAGGAGTGGATGACTGCAGGATTATTGAGATTAAAGTGATGAATCATAGACATGTAAATTTCCCTATAACAAAGTGCAAACTTTTTCAAAATCAATATCGGAAACGCAATTAAAACTAATGTTAATAAATAAAAAATTATATATTAATAAACCGGTTCGACCGGTTCAACCACTGATCCGACCAGTGAACCATTAAACTAATAGTTTCACCGGTTCGATGACGGTTGTGTTTTCAAAACCTTATTAGCACTATAATTTAGATGCGGCAGAATGACTTTTATACATAATACATTTATTTATTTATTTATTTTGGTTAATCAGTAGAGTGCATATAACGCCAATCACATTTTCATATTGCTTGATTTGCCACTAAAAGTTAAATAATCATAGAAAGGTCAACGGTACCTTACAATTAAAAATAAAAAAAAAATAAAAAATCTTGAAACAATTAATTTTTTGCTTAGCTTCCTGCATAACTCCACTTTTATCGATAGTGAACACAACCAAAATCTTTCAGATTAGATGAAAAAAGAAAAACAAGGAAAAAAAAAAACATAAAAGAAGATGATGTGCATGAATGTTTTGAGTTCAAGTGCACAAAACATCTCCATTTCGAAGCAGCCAACGTTACTACAACAGCAGGCATGCGTTAACAGCCTAATCCTCCCCAAACCCAAATCCAGGAATTTTCCAACACCTAAAAAGCAGGTAGCTACACCTCTCCGAGTGTTGGCCATTGTTAGCGAGCAAGAATCGAGAAGCATTTTCGATTTCAACGGTTATGTTTCCCAGAAAGGTAGCTTGGTGAACAAGGCGCTAGACGAGGCTGTTCTGGTGGGGAGCCCACCTGCGCGGGCCATTCAGGAGGCTATGCGGTACTCACTGTTGGCCGGCGGGAAGAGAGTTCGGCCGATGTTGTGCATTGCCGCCTGTGAGGCGGTGGGCGGCAGCCAGGCGGCAGCTGTTCCGGCGGCCTGCGCGGTGGAGATGATCCACACGATGTCTCTTATACACGACGACCTGCCGTGCATGGACAACGACGATCTTCGTCGGGGAAGGCCCACCAATCACAAGGCGTTTGGTGAGGACGTGGCAGTACTAGCAGGTAACCCAGAATATATATATATATATATATATATATATATATATATATATAATTTGGAGCATCAGATCATTTAATTTTATCATGGATTAAATTTTATTCTCTCTCCAAAATTTTTAACATTCAATTTCATTTTTAAGTAACAAAATTACGTGCTTGAATGTCATAAATTATGAGCATAAACCAATCAAGGAAGATACAAAATTGTACTCAAATTTTAAGTCATACCCACTCATGAAAATGGCCGGGTGTATTAGCATAAAGAAAATGGTTGTAACGACTCTTCCATAACAATTGTTTGATCAAAATCAATTTTGAGAATTGTTTTCTTAATTCATATTTTTTTTCATGAATTAAATTATGATTTTTTTTTATATTGTTATATTTTTAAAGTATTCTTCTATGTGTAAATGTACAAGTTTGATTACTAGTAATAACAATAATAATAATAATAATATGTTTTGTAATAAATGCTGGTCAGCCCGTATAGCACGTTTAGAAGATCGATGACAGATAAACAAAATTGTTATCTTATTTATTTATTTCTACTAAATTACTGGCGACCAAAGCTCGACTTTGAATTCTTTATTTTTAAATCTTGCCTTTTGCACCCGGAGTTTATATAAGATTTTTCTATCAATTGGACTTTTACCATTTCCTAATTTTCCAATTTAAACAAAACGTATTTGACGTTTTTTTCAGTCACCGCGTGGTGTTTTCTCAAATCATGACTTCGCAATTCGCATGGCGTTGAAAACAGCTTATTTTTAATCTACCTTTTTTTAAATCTTGGTTTTTCTAACCAATTACAATTTAAATATTCTTTCATGTTTCTTGATTAACATGGACATATATTTTGTTTATTACCATTTACCATGGACATTACAAGCCCACCCATAGGCCACAAATACTCTAAAGTTACAATCCAGCCGCTACCCTGAATATTTTGTTGGACATCTTATTAACTGCATGTGTATTTAGTTTAAGCTAACGCTAAATACTATAATCAACCTATAACACGCTTTTAAAAAACATTCACAAGTAATAACACGCTTTTAAAAAACATTCACAAGTCACAACTGTACTATGGAATCTCTTCCTGCAGGAGATTCCTTACTGGCCTTTGCATTCGAATTCATGGCCATCGCCACCACCGGCGTGCCGCCAGTCAGAGTACTGGCGGCAGTCGGAGAATTAGCAAAGTCTATAGGCACAGAGGGTCTCGTGGCCGGTCAAGTCGTGGACCTGTACTACACTGGAAAAAACCAAAATGTTGGGTTGGACACTTTAGAATTCATTCACATACACAAAACTGCGGTTCTATTAGAGGCTTCCGTGGTTATGGGAGCGATTATTGGAGGAGGAGACAATGGCCAAGTCGAGAGGCTAAGGATCTTTGCCCGGAAAATAGGTTTGCTTTTCCAAGTGGTGGATGACATTTTGGATGTCACTAAATCATCAGAGGAGTTGGGTAAGACAGCTGGTAAAGATCTGGCGGTGGATAAAACAACGTATCCCAAACTATTAGGATTGGATAAGGCTAAGGAGTTTGCCGTGAAGTTGAAGGATGAGGCAAAGGAGCAGCTAGCAAGCTTCGACAGGGATAAGGTGGCTCCTCTAGCGGCATTGGCGGATTACATTGCGTATAGGGAGAATTAAGGTTTGTTATTTATTTTGTTTGTTGTAAAATGGTTATGAATTTGTTCAACTTTTGTTGTATTTTTTGGGGGCAAATGAATTTGCTTCATACTACTTGGAGTTGTGAAGGTTTCATTTTCCTCGAGGGATGTAAAGTAATGTGTATGAAATACTATGTTTGGGACTTTTGAATCATGGGACTCTTTCGAAAATCGGTTTTGAGTTCAAGGACCGAGTTGTATCTTGATTTGTTTTGTATTTAAAGCTCTTAAACATTGGGGTTTGCTGCAACACCTTTCATTGGCTATAATATCAAAAGCTAATATAATCCTAATCCACTTGGCCATTTCATAAGGAAACTAACCGAGTCCTTTAAGCTAAACATGGCATGCTCGGGGAAGTATGGTATTAGGTAGAATGCGAAAGCAATCAACAATGGACAAATCATCATATATTGAGAACCCAACTCATAATCACTCGTCTTAATAGATGATGGGAATGCTATAAGTTATCTGTAGCCTGAAGAAAGTATTTCGAATCTTGAAAGTGAAGGGGTTCGTTTCCCCACGACGTCCATCCAGGCATCATCTCTCTAGAAAACAATTCAATGCAGCGGGCGGGCTTAAATCCCAGCACATGCTCCAGTAGAAATTCTGTCGAAAGGCGAGAAATGAATGAAAAAAAAAAAAAAAAAAAAAGAAAAAAAGGGAAATTGACTCATTTTTCTGGATGTACTTGTGATTTGGAATAGGGTAAAACTCGGGGGTAACAATTAAAACTAACTGAAAATGGAAGGTTTGTAGTTCGCATAGCAATACCTCCAATTGGGGGCTTCCTCGAATAGTCTCCTGGGACACTGATGAAAATTTGATTATCAGGAATACGTTTCAAACTCAGGAGCTGTTCGGAGTTCATTTCCTGCATAGGGGAAGAATCATTGATGACAGATATATAACGATAATATAATATTAACAAAAACTCAAAGAGTGAGGCTGACCTTCCCTTGACTAAAACCGAGAATAAGGCATTCGTACGGCCTGTGGTGGAATAGATCAAGTTCACTGATCAACAAGCCGTCAGGTCTCACCTATCGTTGAATTCAAGTTAAATTGTGTGTAAAACAGACCACGCACAATGCTTGCCAGTGTTTGAATAAGACAAGAAAACCTTCAGCCAGTAAAAGGTGGCAGCATGCTTGACTCCCCATTTCGGGAATAATTCATTTTCCACAAAGTTCCACAATTTTTCCCTATTTGTCACCCATAAGCCTACTAAGGCCCCAGCAATATGGGCAAGTTGCTTTATAGGAAGGGATAAAAAGTAGCGATTAGGCAATGTCCGGTACCTGTAATTATAAAGTAATATAATTTTCTTTCGAAGGGAGAAAATAAGGCAAAATGAATGGTTCATGTCGATCATCAGGTATTGGACGTAAAAATTGATATTAAGTATTTAAATAATATAAAGATCGAACATACTTTTGTTTCTGGCGTGCGCTGCTATTTTCCCATGGAGGATCAATCATTATTAGGTTGAAGCCACAATCAGAATCAGCTGCCAAAAATCAATAATACATATTTAAAACAAATGTTTTGAAGCATGCCAAGCCCGGTGGCCCTTGGAAGCTTCTACTCAAAGCTTCCGAACAGATATGATAAAAACACAAGTAAACACAAGCGCTATAGATTTATGAATGTTATGTGATAGCTTCTGTTCACCAATAATTTAAAAGCTATTTTACACATAGAAAACTTACTTATATCTCACTAGTGAAGATACAAGCAAATAGTCACTTCAGATCTAAGATTCTTACCAGGAATTAGGTTGTGGATTTGACTGAGATCGGACTTCCTCATGACAAGGAACAAAGCATTAGTAAAGTCGGACTTTAAAGTAATTTTAAATGCCTAAAGAATTAGCATCTGAATCCGAAAACTGTGAAAAGATGCCAACTTTTATACCATGTAAAAAGAACTTCTCTTTGGCAAAATGTACTGGTGGCCAAGTAATTCAGCCTCTATCTCAAGACTCCCTTCATTGGCAACGAGATTACTGAACACAGGAAGTGCTGTCTGACAACAGGACTCAACACCTGAGAAACATGTCAATATGTAGATTTCAAACATTTTACTCTAACTAACCATGCTACTGAAAGCAAAGAAGCCAAAGAACAATCTCGTAACACATGAGTTTAGGGTATATCCATGAGGCAACCACCCCTTTCACTTGTAATTACAATACCATGTCTATGAATCAACAAAACCAGTTCACAACAGCGAAAGGTGCAGTCTTTAAAACACCATAGATCATGAAATCAACTGGTCAGACTATAACATCTACTGCAATAACATAAATCACACATTTCAGGTAGAGCATAATATTCCATGAAAATGCAAAGCAGATCGTAATTGTATACCACAGATGTATTTACAAAAAGAACAAGAAAAAGAGAAATAAAAAAAGCTTTAAAATGTTCAAACTTCATCTACTCTAATAAAAGTAACCTGCAGTTTCGACTGTGGTGTCGTCTTCATGATGTTTAAGGACGATCTCGTAAAATGGAGCTTGCCAAACTCCTCCTATTTCCACAAAATCAACCTCACTTCCCTTCGAAATTGATTCTCCGTTACAGTTTTCGAAGTCATTTCTCAAATCCCTCAAAGCTTCCAGAAGCTGAGTCGTGCCCAGCAGAGCTTCGTGCGCCTTCAACAATGCTGGTCTCACCTCCTATTCTCCAAAATCAAGCGACTAACTCAAAATTNCACACCGACCTGATGACGTTGATCGGCCATCTGTTCCCGCGAGTTGAGTGTTTGTCCCTTTTTCTTCTTCTTCTCGCTGCGTTTCCGCTTCTTCGAGTTTTTGGGCGCTTCATTACTGTGATTGGCAAGGGAGATTTCCGAAGCGTGGAAAAAGCGGGAGTAGTAAGCCGAGCCAGAAACCTTGAACCGGGTGTATGAGCGGTTCAGGACCCGAACGGGATCGATGAAGCAGGCGTTGGCGTTTTCGAACCGGTAGATGCCCGATTTCAGAAAGGCTGATAGCTCATCGTCCGATTCGGAGGCGGCGATTATCGGCCGTTGTTTATCCATCGTGAGTTTTGTGGTCGCCGGAAGGCGAAATGGATTATAGAGGAAATTGGGCATAAACTGTACAAGTGTTCATAGGCCCATATCAAATAGATAGGCCCATTCATGCGTGGCTAGTGAATGAATTTTGCATTTTTTCCATATTGAAGGATTACTATTATTAAAACTAGTATAGTATTAACATACAAATAATTGAAACTATTTAATATGTAATTTTTTTATTTATTATAGTTTAGTGCTATGATATATAAAAATTTATATATATATAAGTATATAATTCTGAAGTTTACAAAATCTCATAATTGCTTTCACTTCCAAAATTTAATAAAATTTTGGTTAGCTCACTTTTTTTATTATAAAAAATTATATTAGAAACGTACTTTCATTGTTTAGTTAGTAAATTAATACAACGATTTGAAAGGTGACTTCTCATTTACTATTGTACCTAAAATATTCGATCACAAAAAATAGCGTGGCTCGCATACTAATTTTAGCCCAAGTCGACCAGCAGGACCAAAAAATACAAAGTTCATCTCGCAGTCGGTCCAAGCAATCACCGTTAGGGTTGCTGATTGCTCGATCAGCATGACTATCATCCATGGAAGCTTCTCAGGAAGACTAACGATCACCCTGACTGTCTGAATACGCACGATAAAGCTGGTAGCACCACCCGACATGTCCCATCAACTTTTGCATGGAAATACGCGATGCCACCCTATGCCGCTTGCTGGCACTTCTCATTTAATGCACTGGCATCTTTTTTCGTGTATAAATACGACCCTCAAACCCTGTAGAAGAACAACAGAAGCTAAGCCTAAACACATAAGCTAACCCAAGCCAATTCCTCAAAGATCATCACGATCGCTACTACCAGTTTTTTCATATCACTACATTTGATCTCTTGCTAATCATATAAAAAACATTCGGTTGTAATTCTCACTATTTCTAATAAAATTCCATAGAAACCCTCACTTTGCCAATCGGCAATTATCTATGTCTCGCTTTATTTTTATGCATTATTTATCTTCGCATCTCTTCTTATCCGAAATATTTATCGTAGCACCCAATTAAATCGCCTTATATGCAATGTTTCGTAATTGTTGGTGACCCACCGTCATCAGAATGGCGCTAGAGAGAGGGCGACTGTCAAGGGTTACATCTGGACATCACCCCTATAAAAAGCGAGCGCCGATAAAGTTTTTCCACACACTTCTCCTTTCATCTTCTTCATAAAACCCTATCAAAAGAAGGGCGGTACAGTCGACCCTCTCCTTTCTACTCATGAATGGGCGGCTCAACCGTCAAGGATTACATCTGGACATTACTCCTATAAAAAGCGAACCTTGATAAGGTTTTTCCACACTTCTCCTTCTATCTTCTTTTACTATCTTCTGTGTCGGTTATAACAGAGTCCGAAACTCTAAATTGGCATATTATTGACTTCCGTTGTAAGTTGATTATTTTCTGCTCGGTTATCATAGCTAATGGCTTGGCTTTCACCCACTTGGTGAAGTAATCGACGGCTACGACTGCGTATTTGACCCCTCATTTCCGATCAACAGAGGGCCAATTATGTCACCCCCCACTAGGCAAATGGCCAGGCGCTAAGAATCGATTTCAGCGGTTGTGCCGGTTGGTTGATATTAGGTGCGAACATTTAGCACTTTTCGCATCTGCGCACAAGTTCCAAGGCATAGTTCTTGAGTGTTAGCCAATAACATCCTCGCCTAGGACCTTATGTGCAAGGCGTATCCTCCCGAGTGATTACCACAAACTCCCTCGTAGATCTCTTTCATTATGCGTGTAGATTCTTACTCACTTATACACTTTAATAGAGGTGTCGAGTAACCGCATTTGAATAGCTCGTCTTCTATGATCGTGAACTGAGCTACCCGGGTGCATAGTTGACTGATCACTTTAGGGTCTGGTGGCAACATTCCGGCCTCAAGATATGCTATAATAGGTTGCATTCACCCAGGGTTGTTGGATGTTAGCTCGGCAGATAGCAGACGGTTGTCGGCCGTAGCTACTTGTCCTTATTGTCTGACCTGAACGTACTCCACCTTCTCCATGTCCGCGCTTGAAGCTGTACATGCAAGATTAGCATCTGCTTGTACATTTTTCTGACCTTAGGATATGCTTCATTCGAACTCAAAACTTGGTCATCCTCTTTCTCACAAGGTCAAGATAGGAGGCTAACCTCAATTTCTTGACCTCAAATTCCCCAGAAATGTTTTTAACCATCAACATCGAGTCAGAGTAAAAGATCAGGTCAGTCAAATTCATCGATTATGCCAGGGCTAACCCAGACTGAAGAGATTCCTACTCGGCCTCATTATTCATTTCCACAAAGAGATATCGGACCGAGTGGTAATATAGCCTCTTTTGAGGGTCTACGAGGAAAATTCCCCCACAAGCTTTGTTTGCGGTGGAGGAACCGTCCACGTACATTACCCATGGCTCGGCATTTCTCACTTTTTTGACTCCCGGAGTAAATTCCGCGATGAAGTCATAGAGGACTTGGCCTTTGATGGACGTCCTCGGATAAAAATGAATATCGAACTGTCCCACTCAACTGCTTACTTCACCATCCGACTTGATATCTGGTCGGTGGAGAATCTTCCTTAGGAGAAAGCCTGTCAGGACAATCACAGAGTATTCCAGAAGTAGGAGCATAGCTTTCGAGCTGCAGTGACCAAAATGAAAGCTAACTTTTCCATCGGCAGGTAACGCATCTCGGCATCATTCAGTGCTTTTCTCATACAGTAGATCGGGTGTTGGCATGATGCCTCATCCAAAACTAGGACCGCACTTATGGGCGCCTCTGACACTCCGAGGTATAAGTATAACCCGTCCCCGGGACTAGGCTTTTGCATTATGGGAGCTTGGCTCAAAGTGGACTTAATGTTCTCTAATGCTCTTGGGCATCCGAGGGTCCATTCAAATTTCTTATTCTTCATGATTGCCTCAAAGAATAGTTTGCACCAATTTGTCGATTTTTAGATAAATCGGCTAAGTGCGGGAAGTCTTCTGGTCAAACTCTGTGTTGATAACCGACTTGGTTTTGTAGAATTAAAGTCAGTGATTAATCGTTTCGGTGAAATAATAAAACCTCCAGAAAGAGACAACTTAAGCCAAGTCGGTATTTTCTGAATTAATTACCGACTTCCGAGATTATTAAAAGTACCGACTACTGAGACAGATACAAATAGCCGACTTCATTTCAACAATATTATGATAAGTCGAATCAAACCTTATCTTTTCAAACCGACAGCCTAAAAGTTCGAATATCCCAAGTAAAAGACAGAGCTGTAAGCATGTGATTGGATCGTCAAGATAACAGAGCAATCATTGGTATTCCCCAATTCCAAAACACATCACTTTATTGAAGCTGCTCAACATTAAATACGTTCTTATCCATCTCAAGCAAGGAGACAAAAACTACCGTACTATAAATAGCAGAATTTATGATAGTACGAGGATCTTTTCCAGACACATTGTACAAGAACTAAAAATGATCTCGGTTAAAAACAAAGAAACCGTTTTCCTGTACTATTGTGATATTATCAATAAATTAAAGTTACTTATCTGACTTTGTTTAAACACTCTCCGCAGTTAATTTCCTCGTTGTTAATTCCATACAACAACAGTTTGGCGCTAGAAGAAGGGCTGAACCTTCGATTTGTTGTGAGTTTTATGTAACACCTAGCTATAAGCATACACAATAATCATGTCAAGTTCTGGGCGACACGAACGCAATCCAGATATTGGAATCAGTCGTCACCCTGCTTATACAACTGAAAATTCAACTGTGCCATCTATGCCGATAGATTATTCTGCTTTATTTCAAGATCCAGAATTTCTGAGAAATCTAACTAATTTCATGGCACAAACAAGAGCAGAACCGACTACGGCAGTTCATAATTGAACTCATCCTTCACCTGTTCAACAGCAAAATAATATTCCTGCTGCATCACACACGACCTCTCATCCACGAACTGCCACTTATAATCGTGGTGTAGTTCCTGTTCAAAATCATATTCCAGAAGCAGCTCAACCAGAAGTTACTGCTGAAAGTCATTCTGGGCGTCGACCGCAACAGCCGGCACCCTCGTTGCCGGAGACTTCACAGCATGGTCAACCATTGTTCGCAAAATATTTTCACTATCCGCAAGTGTACGGTATAGCTGTAGTGAGTGGCGAGCAAGGTCGTATAAGCATGCTGAATTTAGACTTCCCTATAGAAAGAGTCCTCCCTATATTGCCCTCGGCGGTTTAACAACGGCTTGAAATTCCTTAATAAAAGAAGACAGGCGCTTATACTTATTATTATATGCCAACTTCAACTGATTCCAGTCTTTTGACCGTCGAACTCGGGCGTGCTTAAATTCGTCTCTTCTGAAGGTTGTAGCTTATGCTTCGAGGCAGTTGAAGCCTCACGAGCATAACTACCCCACTCACGATCTTGAGTTAGCTGCAGTTGTCCATGCCTTGAAGATTTGGCTGCAATGCAAAGGAATTGACGTGGGACAGAAATAATTAAGTACATGTTGTCCAGACCAAAGGGTGAGTAGACCTGGGAATATAGACCCTGTCTCCTATCTAAAAACCCGGAATTCCAGACCTGGGGCTAAGAAACTGAAAGCAAAGGTAGCTAAGATTAAGGGTAAGCTCCACTCGGGCTTCCCACAGGCATGGCGCACGAAGCCCTCAGAGAAAGTAAATCTATGGACTTTCTTTTTTGTGTCTATGTATTCCACAGAGATTGTTGTCAAAATTAACCAAGTATCAAAATGTAAACGATTAAATATTATTTAGTCTAATGCAAATTTGAATGGTGATTTTATTCTAAACTAATGAATGATTGCAAAATAAATTCTAACACTAATGAAGGCTTGTTCTAAGATAAATCAAGAATGAGAAAATAGATTCTAGGCTATGCTTTCCTCGGGATTATTCTAACAAAGATTAATTTTTCATTCAAACCTTATTTAATTCTACCATTCGTAAGGATAATCACTAAAGTAATTTACACCTTTCTCTCGAACAAGTTAAATCGT